CTCCATTTTCTATTCTATATCTAGAATTCCTGTTATTCAGGTGTCAGACACCTATAGTGAGCCTTTACTTTTCTTATTTTCTCTCCCGATTTTCACCTTTGTAATTTTGTTCTACTTTCTGGGGGCATTTCTTCACCTTTACCTTCCAACTCTTGTGATTTCAGTTCAGCTATTTTATTGTTCTGAGTGCTTCAGTTTTCCAGAGTGTCCTGTCTTTATTTCAAGGATACAGTCTTGCTTCTCTGAGCATATTTAAGGGTTTTTCCCCTCTTTCTTCCTCCAAGTTTTATTTTTCAGTTTTAGTTTGTTCTCTGTCTCTGAGATAGAGGAGATATCTGATGTAATAATAGCTCTATGTCTGGCCAAGTTTTATTTTTGTCTCTAACTTGCATGCTACGGGTGTTCCTGAGAAGCCCAGTGCTGCCTGGTTGCGAACTCATCAGAAAGAGTGGGGCACTAAGCAGCTGGCTGACAGTCCCAAGCCTGGGCACGTGGCTGCAGAACAGGCTGGATCTTGTCTTCGGGGAACTACTAAAGCCATTTCCTTTAGGTCTCCCCTTTCAGCCTAGTCACATTTCCCAGAGAAGCTTCTTTCATTTTCCTGCCTGAAGGGAATCAGGCCTCAGGCTAGGGCTGACAGGGAGAGCGTGGGGTGTCTCAGCAGGATGCAGACATCTGTTCCACCCCAACACCTGCCCCCATTTGCAGTCCAGAGAAGAACACTTTAGTCTCTTCTGCTGGGAGTTAGAAGGGAACTCTCATGGCTGTGTTGGAGGTGGTGTGTCTCCAAGCCTAGTACCTGCCGGATGGTCCTTGAAAGTTTAACCCACCTTCTGCTTTTAGCCCCGACTTTATCCCACTCACGTCACCTCCAGCCTCACTACCTGATGCCAGGAATTCCACGTCATCTCAGCGGTTATGTTGTATAAATAGAGTGGCTACTTGGTGCTCCCCGCTGCTGGCTTTGGATTCGGTCCTCAGCTTCTGCCAAGTCAGCTCCTGTGTGGCCACTGGCACTGTCACCCCCAAATGCTGCTCCTGTTTCCTCTCATAGTGTAGCCGTCCTCCTAAGCTAATGCCTTTTAAAATTTCCTTTATTGTCATCTTAGTGGGGTTTGGGGACAGGGCCCTTGTGAATGCATATCTTCACCTGCTGTCTTTACCTAGCAATCCAGCCTGTTCTTTTAGTTTGAATTTATTTAATTATAAGTTTGAACAGCTTTTCTTATGTTTATTAACCTGTTCAGTAAATGTGACTTTTTCACTGAAATCCTTGCCCATTTCTCAGTGGAGTTGTTCATCGTCTTGTCCTCAACTGAGAACTCTTCTTTTCCTCTTTAACTGAGCATCATTTCTGCCTGTCCCCATTTTGTTTGTTGGGACAATTTTTCTCAGTTGATCTGAGGGTACCCAGAGGCCCTCATTGTCTCTGCGGTGCAGTCTGCCATCGCCTGGCACAGAAGGCTGCATCTGCGTCAAAGGGCATGAGGCTCACCTGGTTCACCAGCGGCTGGGCCACCGCCCTGTGCCCTCCCATCACCGGTCTCTGTCACCTTTGACATCCACAGAAGCATCATTTAAACGTCTGCACTCCCACCTGGATTCTGCTCACAGACCAACTCTCCTCCCTATCCTGACCTCAGTCTTTGGGTGTTTGTGCCCTGTTCTAGCACATCTGGGCTTCTCTCAGCCACCCAGGAGGGCGGCAGCAAGGTGGTGCAGGGATGGCCACCTGCACCGCTCCCACATCTGTCTTCATGGAGCTACTGTTCTGGCCAGCAAGGTGTGCAGGGACGAGCACAGTCTTCCATCCCCTCAATCTGTCCCTCTCGCCTGCCCCTCAGAATGTGCCCTGGAAGAAAGCAGACAGGATGGAGCAATGGTTTCTTTATTCCCTCTCACTTTTTCTTGCTTTAGTCTTTGAACGCCATCTGCCCTTAGGAAAGCAGGCATGTGGGAAAGTGCATCAGTCATCTGTTGAAAATAATTCTGTGTAACAAAAGAACTGCAAGCACACAGCAGACGTCTATCTCTCAGCTCACTCCCCTGCAGAGCTCTGCTGGTCTGACCAGCTCCATTTCAGTTTTTCTGCTCTCAGCTGGGGTCTAGCAGGGGCAGGCCACTGGGGTCAGTGCTCCTCAGCAATTAGTGTGCATTAGAATCACCTAGAGAGCTTTCTAGGCCCCCAGGTCCCGGGCCACACCTCCAAGATTCCCTGGGACTGAGTCTGCCTCTCCTGGGCTTGCTCACAGCTGCAGCTTGGGTGACTGTGGGCTGACCTGGGAGGATTGCAGCACCTCAGCTCTGGGAGTCTTTCTCACATGTCAGCAGCAGGCTCAGGTGAGTTTTTTAGCAGTTGCAGTCGCATTGGCCTGACTGAGAGAGCCCCTGTCAAACCTCTGCCTGTGTCACACTTGCCCAGAGCATTGGTGGGTCCCATAATTCAGGGCATGGCTCACAGGCAGGGGGATGAATCCGGGCCTTTCATGCAATCAGCCAGGCGTAGGAGGTGTTGAAGGAAGTGGACTCAGACTGGGCTGCTTCCGCCCAAAACTTACCATCTCCCCCCAAGCCCATTCTCTTCTGGTGTCCTTGGTGCGTCTGTGCGTCCTCTCCTCCGGCTCTGAAGGAGATGTTCCTTCTCCCACCTCCATCACCTGGTCACTCGGGACTCCCCCTACAGCCTCCTAAACACATCTGCAGCCCGTGCACTTCTCTCCTTCCCAGCTTCCTGAGTTTGAAGCCCATCACCTCTCCCCTGGGTGCTGGCTGCAGCCCACACTCACCATCCTTCCTCAGAGGTGAGCACTTCCGACCGACTGCTGCCCCTGGCATGCCCTGTGACACTCCCTGACCTGCTAAGGAAGGTCTCCTGGGGCCGCCCCGCGGGGGAGGTAGGTGGAGTCTCCCTAAACCTGCAGAGAAGGGGGTTCCCTCTGCACTCCAAGAAGGGCCCTCTTACTGCCAGCGTCCTTTCTGTTTCTGGCTCTGGAAGGGGGACCCAGCTGTTTGGGAAATTTGCTTATTTTTCTTCCTCAGGCTACCCTAGGATTCTGTGCAGCCACCAGCCCTCTAGGTCTTGTGCCTCACACTGGGGTGGGGGCCGGGGCTCAAGAGAATGGGCAGGAATAACCTAACTTGACCTGAGGCGTTGCCTCAGAGAAAGACTGTCGGCCACCACCATCCCACCCCCACGAGCAACATGCCGTGACCCCTGCCCTCAGCCCTTGCGTAGCATGCAGAGAGCAGATCTCGTCAACCATGGGAACAGCCACCTCCCAGGAACAAGCCTCCCAGCCCCCTGGGTGGCCATGGGCTCTGCCTATGGTTCCTGCACCTGCCAGGGGGCCCAGCCTGTAACTGACCCAGCCTGCTGTCCTGACACACGGACTGCCTGTGTCTTCCACCCCTGGATGGGGTTCCCACCAAATGCCTGCCCAGCCCCTTGGGCCTACATGTGGGTGCCCTTCAGTGGGTACCTCTGGATGGGCTGTCCACTGCCAGCTGCCTCAGCGCCTTCTTTTTGGCCAACGGGCTCCTCCAGCTTTGACCCCCACATGGGAAGCCAGCACCTGGCTGCCTGGGCCTCCAGCGTCTTTCCTTACCCCATGGGCCCCCCGCCCCCATACCCTTCGGTCCCTCCCACTCTGGGCAGGGATGCCTCTGGCCGGTGTCCCCAGCTGGGAAGCCAGACTCCAGCCAACCCAGCCTTCAGGGCTACAGTGCAGAAGCCGTGCAGAGGAGCTCCCCACGTGCAGAGGCACGAGGCCCCTCCTTTAGAATGGGCCTCCAGGTTCAGTATTTGGGCACGTCTGCCACCCTGCAGCTCAGAACTCTGCCCTCTGTCCCCTTCCCCCATCGAAGACCCTCAGCCGAAACCCCGCCGCTGCCTCTTTGAAAGCTAGTCAGTCCCCCCGTGACCCGCCAAAGTCAGCCATGTGTCACATGGAGCCCAGAGCCGTAGTCTCAGCCTAGAGACTTATGATTGAACATCTAAGTTTTCAAAGGGTCTCAGGTGTGAGTGGTTTGCTGTCCTGCAGCACACAGCGCACTGCACCCGGCCAGCAGGCCTCTACTTGGTTTTTCTCTTCCTCTTCCCTCGTTCTTTCTGCCTTCAGCCCTGACACTGGCTCCTTTCCCTCCCCAGCCCCTGTCCTGGGCCGGCTCTAGAAGGTTTGCTGTGGGTCCTCACACACACACACACGCATTCAACCTTGTAAATGAGTCTGTGTGCTCGTGTTTTTAAATCACATAAATGACGTGCTATAAAAGCTCAGTCTCTTTGCTCTTTTTTGACCTCTGTGCTGTACGTACATTTTATTTGTGGTTTCAAACTGCTCTGAAGGACCTCGTCATTCCCTGCCTGGTGCTGGCTGCCTTCAATCCCCTGCTGCAAACACTGTGGAAAGTCCCAAGAAAAATCCCCTGACTCAGCCTGTGTCACAACCGCTTCAGGCCCATGCAAACGTTCTTCTGAGTCATGGGAAGATGCTGCTTGATTTTACTTGGGATGGCTAGCCCTTCTCCAGAATGGTTCCATCAGCACCGTGCCCCCCAGCAGTGCCTGAGCCCCCAACACACACCGAGGCCTCCTTTGGGATCCCCATTTCTAACTACCTCTGTCTGGGTAGGTGCAAATGGCCTGCCACGGTGATAGCTTGACTCCCATCAGCTGCTGTGGCTTCCCTTTCTGTACGCTGCATATGATGTCATTCAGTTGTTTTGAGGATTGCAAAAACTGGATATCAGTCCATTGTCAGTCTTGGACCATGCAAATGTCTCCTCCTGTCTGCCATGTGGTATGATCTAGCCAGAGGTTCTCAGCATGTGGTCTCCAGGCCCACAGCACAGCATCGCCTGGGAACTCATGAGGGGCACATGTTCTCCAGCTCCCCCAGACTGTGCTTCACACATCCTGGCTGCTGGGCGACTATCTCTTCAGTCCATCAGGGGCTTCCAATGCATGCTCAAGTTTCAAAATTTCTAAATTTTGAAAACTTACATGTATATTCATAATTTTTATCTTTTATATGTATTTATTATATATTATCATACAGTATATTTGATATATAATATGTTACTATTTTTATATTTACTTTATATATGTGACTTCAT